GGGGGGGGGGGGGCAGAGGGAGGTATTGCTCAATTCATTCTTCGAGACGAAGGGAAGGGTCGGGGGAGAGAGAGCGCGAAGGGGGGGCATTTCGTCGGACACTCTGGATGTAATGAACAAAAACCGTTGGACAAAATGCATATAAGTATCTGACTGCCGTTGTGTGTGTCTGCCGACAGAGGGGGCGAAAATCTGCGCCAGGTACGGCAGTGTCGGACAGGACCTCTCCGGCCACTTCCCGCCGGACATGTTTCGGTTCAAGACAACAGGATGACGCGTTTCGCAAGAAGAACGCTGCAGCGGAGTCGGTGACGACGCTCGGCACAGGCAGCGACCAACTACCACCGCAGCGGCCTTCCTTGGGGAACGAACGCTCTTCCTTAGCTGTGGGCGTAGTAAAAAATGCTGAACGCGGGGTATACACACATGACATTACATGCGCGGCAGCCTCCTGTCGTTCCACAGCATGTCAACCAGTTCACAGCCTAATTGTTACTAAGTTCAATCTCGGCGAGTCATCGCAGAGCATGGACAAGTCATAGCACGGAGAATTTGGGGATCTCGCTGATTTCATAGACCAGACGGGGGGAGGGGGAGAAGATCCCCGAGCCTCACCGCGGACAGGCGTTCTTCAAGGTCCTCCAATGCCAGCTGGTTGTACTCGACCAGGGCCTGGTACTTTTCAGTTGCCTACGAGCGCGAGATTTGCCGGAAACAGCAGCAGCAGCAGCAGCAGCAGCAGCAGCAGCAGCAGCAGCAGCGGCAGAACCAGGCGTTTGGTGTGTTGGTGAGAGAGAGAGAGAGAGCGCACGACAGAGAAACAGGCGTGCGTGCGATACAGTAGTCTGGAGGAGCGACGAAACATTTTGTGTGGAATAGCGAGCATCTCCAACGTCGGGCCCCCTCTTGCCGCACAACCGTAACCGCTGAAGTCTACAGCTGCAGCAAAAGCAGATGAAGGTAGGCTCTGGCGGCAACGAACATGCTTGGAACTTGTTTTTGACGCAGGGGATGGGCAACGTCAGCAGGAACTACATACCCCCCGTTCCAGGACCTTTAAATCCCGCTCCCTCCCTGTAGCAGCCAGCGGTAAATGCATCGGGCTACCACTTTCTCTCTGAAAGCGACTCTGATTCTTACCTCCTCGATGGGCCTGTCGGTTCGCATGGTCTCCTCCGCTTGACGCATCAAAATGTCTTGCTCCGCGACCTCCGCGATCATCTCGTTCGTCACCTGGTGCGGGCTTGCGGCCCCAATCGCTGTTTCCAACGTGAGCGCGCGGGGGGGGGGGGTCGGCCGTTACNGGGGGTCGGCCGTTACCACGGCACCGCCGATGGGAATATTGAGCTGGATGGGACACAGCAGACGCCGCTGGTGTTGCGCGAAATTCCTTCACAAACAAAAAATTTGTCAAGTGCTAGGAGAGGTGTCTATTGAGTAAACTGCTGCTAGAGCTATTTACCAAACGGTCAATCTCCCCCGCGACAACGTAAAAAAACCGTCCTGCGGCAACAGCATTTGTACACAAGCGAGGCAAGGTAGTAACAGGAACGGTATCGCGCCGAGGCGGTATTGTATGTGTATGTGGGTGTGGGTGTGGAGCATGAGGTATTTCGGGGATTGTTGTTGTTGTTGTTGTCGTCACACTAAAAACCGTTCCGATCTCTCTCTACCCAGTACCTTCGTATGTCCGTACTGATACAACACTCGACGCGGTCGATTCCCGTGGTCGCAGGCTAACTTACCCTAAAAAGGTACACTCAAATAAAATGGCCCCGAGGGGTCCGCAAGTCAATAGAAATCAACGCCAGATATTCTGGAGTCCTCCACTCCCTCTGCGCGCTATGCGAGGTAACAACTGAGACTAATAGGGGTCACCATCACGGGCCGGAGAGAATGAGGTACATCCCCTTGATTCAATCTTGGTACTTCATAACGCAAGCAGAAACAAGGCCATCTGGCACAGAAAAAGAGAGAAAGAGAGAACAAGAGAACAAGAGAAGAGAATAAAAGGAAACAGAAAGGAAAGAGAAAATGAAATAAAAAGAGCGAGGACAAAAGGGACCAGGCCGAAAAAAACAAGAAATAAGAGACAGAAAAAGGCACACGGTGGAGAGACCACTAACGA